TCAAGAAAGTTGATATAGACCAAAAAGACATAAGATGCATTGAAAACTTGTACTGGCATCAAACGGCACAGTTAAAAATAGACAATTCTATATCCAAACCCATACATATAAGAAGGGGCGTTCGACAGGGATGTGTGCTTTCCCCTCTTTTATTAATCATTTATTCGGAAGCCATATTTCAATAGTCTTTGGAGGATGCAAAGATGGGAATCAAAGTGAATGGAGTATTGATCAACAACATACGATATGCTGATGATGGTGTCTTAATTTGTGAAAACAAACAAAATACAGTAAGCGAATGGGATTAGAGATTAATACCAAAAAAACCAAATTTATGATTATCTCCAGAAACTTGGATGCACTTGAAAACTCCACCATAACACTGAATACTAAGTCCATTGAAAGAGTGAGTGAATTTAAATACCTGAGATCGTAGCTTTTTGAAGACTGGGTATCGGACAGGAAAGTAAAATGTCGCATTGAGCAATTTCGACAAGCTTTTGTAAAATTCAATAAGGTACTAACTTGTTCAGAGTTCGATTTTCAACTGAGTCTAAGGTTTACTAAGTGCTACGTGTGGTCAGTGCTGCTATAATATGGCGTAGAGGCCTGGACACTCAAAAGGAGGGACATAAACAGATTAGAAGCTTTCGAAATGTGGCTCTATCGCCGTATCCTAAAAATACCATGGACAGCGAAAATCACAAATATAGATGTCCTTAAAAGAATAAACCAAGAACGCCAACTTTTCGAAACCATCAAGAAAAGGAAAACGGCGTATCTAGGTCATATCATGCGAAATGAAAAATACCAGTTCCTCCAACTTATAATCGAGGGTAAAATTGAAGGCACGTGAGGAATGGGACGCAAAAAATGTCCTGGCTCCGAAACATAAGGCAATCGACAGGGATTAATGACATAAAATCTCTGATACATATTGAAAGAAATAGAGAATTAATGGAAAATATGATCGCTAACATCCATTAGTGAATTTGCATCTGAAGAAGGAGAAGTTACTGGTTTTGTATGTGAAGGAGAGATATCCAATCATGTCTTTCCTTGGTTCATCAGGTTTTGGGGCCAGGTTCTATCTAGTCTTCTTGTGCCTGGATCATTGTTGAATAATTCCTTTACTAGCTCATTTTCATGGTGAATGGTACGTTCTTTTTGTGACTCAATGGTTCAATGGATTTCTTCTTTGATGAAAGGAATCTTTAAATCGTACTGAAGTGTTTGATTACTGACGTACCATGGTGCATCTACTATCGACCTTATAACTTTAGATTCGAATCTTTAAATGATATTCAGCGAAGTTGGCTTTGCACAGCCCGATAGGTGTTGTCCGTAGCACCAGATAAGTTTGATTTGTATAGAAGAATTTTGTTTTGGATCTTAAGTTTTGATTTACGTTCAAGGAGCCAATACATTTGAGGGAATTTTAAGTCAAGCTGTCTTCTTTTGGTCTGGATATGTTTCTTCCAAGTGAGCCGTTGCTCAAGATAGAGGCCAAGGTATCTAGCGTCTGTTACTGTTGGTATTCTTACATTTTCCATTCTTGTGGCAGTATGCATGTGCTGTGGCGGTTGATAAATGTTATTTGAGTTGATTTTGTGTTGTTTACTTTTGTTCTCCATTTTGTGTACCAATCACTAAGTATGTTCAGATGATTTAGATTGATGTAGATTTTGTGAGGCTTGTATCTGATCTTAATTTAAAACTAGTATTACTACAAATTCAGCAAAGGACGCGATTGTAGTATTATTAGCCTCTGGTATATCGGATGTGTAGAGTGAGAAAAGTAGCGGCCCTAGAACGGGGCGAGACTCCGAAGTTAATAGGACAGAGGGTGGATTAGTCATTGGTCATTGAATTTGAATTTACGTTGAAAATATATCAATTCTTCTACATTTCTTCAAGACTTTTTGATGTTTTATTTATCATTCGATGGACTTGTTGGGTAGTGGAGTAAATTTCTCAAAAATCAAACTGATGCTTTGGTAGTAATGATCTGCGTGTATCCTTTGTAGCAGCAATCTTTCACAAACATTGCTTATGATTGAGAGTAGACTGATGAGTCAATAAAATGTTACTTCATTGGGCTCTTTTCCTGGCTTGAGAATCATAATGATTTCAGAAAATTTCCATATTTTTAAAAGTATGATAAGCTTAACATGCAGTTAAATATAACTGTTAGCACAATAGTGGTCTTGCGAGGAAGTTGTTTTAGTACTTGTGCCAAGATTAATTTTTAATCAGGGGCCTTTCGTAAGTTGAGTTCATTTAATTTTTTCCTTTTTGACTTTTATGACAGTAAAATTTTTGATTGGAAGGGAAATTTGTTAGTTATTTCACTTTTTCATTAGGGTTGCCGGTTCTGTTTAAAATACGTTTCTAAGACGTTCGGCAAAAGCGTCCGCTTTTTCTTTGTTAGAACAGGCTCATTCGTCATTTTGTTAACGGATGGGAGGAATAGTGGTGTATGGTTTCTTAAGCTACCTAGTTATCTTCTATAACGTCTGGTTATTTGCTGTAAGGTTTGTAATGTAATGTTCGAAGGTTTCGTTCTTTGCGTCTTTACTACTCCTAAGTTGCCTACGTAGTCTATTGAATATATGTTGAGCTGTTGTTTCTATATTTTTGCCAGGTTCTACTCGCACGACGTTTTCTTCCAGCAATGCGTTGGCGAATGTGCAGGGGAGAATTTGTGGTATGTATTGGTTTGCTAGTCTAGATTGCCATGCCGCTTTTTGCACAAGTGTGGTAAAGTATTGAGCTACTGTATCTATGTCATGTGGATATTAAGATTAGTGTTTTTATCTAGGTAGGATTGAAAATCTGCTCAGTTGGTGTTTTTGACATCAGTCGAGGAGGGAGTGGGTTGTTTGCTGGCCACTCCTTTGTTTTTGTAGTAGTCCAGTAGATCTTTTCTGGGGTCACTCGGCCAGTACGTAGGTATTCCGTTGGGGTGGCAATCATATTTATTATTGATCATGGTTTTAAAAAGATTAAGACCTCTTGTTGTTGTGAGTCTTTAGCCAGAGTGCGCGTGTGCAGATATATTTAAGTGCAGTGTATATATTGTTAGAATAATAATAATAATAAATAATATTAACCGTATATAGAAACTTAAGCAAATATATACAGACAGGCAAAAGCTAAGGTAAAAATTTATAAAGACGCTCCAGAATTTCCCACTACCAGAGGCAACCGACAAGGAGACGCAATGCTACCAAAGCTTTTCACTGCAACTATTCCTTTGTTCTGCCAGTTCACAAAATGAACTGGCAGAAACAAAGGAGTATCTATTGATGGAGAATATCTCAGCCATCTAAGATTTGCAGACGACATGGTTCTGATTGCTAATAATCCTGCAGAACTACAAGAACTTATAAGCGACTAAATTCAGCTAGTAATGGAGTTGGCCTAAAAATGAACTTGACAAAATCAAAAACCATATACAACGAGCTAGTGGATGTGTAAGATGTAATAATAAACAACACTGCACTTGAGAGAGTAGACGAGTATGTATACCTGGAACATTAATACATAAATCTGCCTCCTTACTTCCAGAAATCATCAGAAGAATAAAACTAGCTTGGACATCTTTTGGTAGAAATGCAGTTATATTCAAATCGAAGCTGCCAATCCACCTGAAGAAAAAATCATTCGATCAGTGTATACTACCAATCATGACATACGGCTGCTAAACTTGGGCACGAAGAAAGAGATAATATCGAAACTCAAAGTCACTCAAAGGTCAATGGAGCGATGCATGCTTGGTATAACAAAGAGAGATCGAAAAAGAATAGAATGGATCAGACAGAAAACCAAGATTACTGATGCAATCCATAGAATTAAATTCTTAAAATAGCAGTGGGATGGACATTTAGCGAGAAGTCACAATATGTGGTCCACTAGAATTACACTGTGGTATCCAAGAGGCGTCAAGAGAACAAGAAGAGCTCCAAATTTAAGATTGGACTATGACATAAGGAAACAAGCCGGTATAGCATGGCACAGAAAAGCGAATTTTAGACAATCGTGGGCACATATGAAGAATGAATAGGGAGGCTACACGATAATTGGTAGAATATGCTGAGAATGATGATGATGATGATGGTGATGATTTACTATCGTTATAATGAATTGAAAGGCCATATATATGGTGCAAAAGTAAAATTTATCAAACATTCTCGCAAACATGTAAATAGTTTTATAACATTAACTGTTGCATTGTAATATTGGGAATATTGTCGTCATTTAGATTATGATACTTCATCATCAGTATTTAAATTTTTTTTGTTTTTATTTATATTTTTTTACCTTTTGTTTGTACAAACCATATTACAGGTACAATGAACAGGCAATGTTATTTAACATTTGATCAATTTCGGTTGAGTTCTACCTTTCATTTGAAATTGCGCTTTTCGGTTAATCCTTGTATAAATAAGTGGTTCTGTATATATTAATATTTATGTTGCATTTAGAAAAGAGTTGAAGAAAAGTACTTTTGTTTTAAAATATGATAGTTAACTGTTAATAGACTTTGGTTGTGTAATATTGTTAAATACAATAAACTGCAAACTAAGAAAGACGTAACAATTGAACGTAAGCCATAAATATTGCAATTTTTGTCCATAAAATTTATATATAGGTACATAAGTAAAACTGAATGCTTAATTGTTATTATTATTGAGACAGCATGTTCTTTAATAAATAGGAAATTCTAATCTACTCTCTTTATATATTTTGTAATTCAGTAATAGAAATATTGTTAAAAATTCAAAAAACGGGAAAGTTACTTAAGGAATATAAAAAATAAAGAAAGGTTTTGAGCGAATTTATGGCAACAAAATCCAATTCAATTGTTCATTGTTTTTTTTTACTATTCAAGGAAATGTTTCTCTTGGATAACGAATAACTTGGAAATGTATTACAAAGTCATTATACTATGTAAATTTTATAGATATCATTTAATGATATACTTGTATTTCTTGCAGGTCCCTACAACATTCACATCTGCAATGGAATTTCTCATCATTAAACAGCAATCCTGGCAGAGGAATCAGATCGGGTGTGAGATCTCCTTGCACGATAGCTAGACGAAGATACGGTTTTGTAAAAATTCAAGCTAAATTATGCAGGCATTCCATGGAAATTATGCCTTATGTACAAGCTGCTGCTGTTTTAGCTTCAGAAACATGCAAATCAATTTTTAGGGATAGAAGATGGAATTGCTCCTCAATTGTTACTGCTCCGTTCCTTACACCAGATCTAACCAGAGGTAATTGATTTTTTTATAAACTATTACGTACACAATGTCCTGTATTAACTGATTTTAAAATACCTTTGATGGAAATTTTAAGTGACATATTTTCTATTCTATATATCTTAGCAGATATGTATTTTTCATCATTTTTTTTCATCCAATTGTATACAGTATACACATAGTGTGATTGTATAGATGTAAATGTAAAATCTACATTTTTGGAACTAGCATATGACTTTAAAACTGGCCAAACCAATTTAATCGGGTTCAAATCAGGATGGTAAGGTGTTTTATTATTTTGTGTCCATGCTCTTGAATAGTGCTCTCAATTGCATATGTTACAAAACAAGGTTTGCGTAAATTTATAACTCTCTTTTGTGATGCGGATGTTGGCATTTATCCTCTTGCGTGTTATAATATGATGCGATATCCAACATTATTACACTGTTTGGAGGCAAGTTACACAACATTTTTTTTTCATCCATTTCTAAAATTTATATAGTTTATGTAATTTTTATAGTTTTTGATGTCGATTTTTACCTTAAATAAGGTCCATCAACAAGACCATGTTCGTTTCTTGCTAAATAATGATTAAACATTGGTCTTTTGGCACAGGTTTTCTTACTCCATTATTACTAGTTCCAGTCCAATTTTTGTTTCAAGTGTGATTAGTTATTAAATAAGTCTCGTCAGTGAAAACAATAAATTTATATTCTTTCCTACCTTTTTTAATGTTTTTGAGTAACTACAGTCTTAAATGTCTAATGTCATGTTTCACAAAAAATATTTTTCTATTATTTGATTTTTTTCCCAACGAAACCCAAGCTGGTGAAATTCCTGCCCTATACTTTCTCTGCTACCTTTATAGTTCAATTCTTCTACAAATTTCCGATAAATATTTTTAACAGTGGAAACCTGTTGTCTGTTGTCCAGTTAGAATGAAAATTGTATATCTACCTGCGTAATATACCTTGATCACATCCTTCTAATTTAATTTTGGACTATTTTTCGTGTCGTTTGTTGTGTGTTTGAAATCGAGAGCTTTGCCCAAAATCGGTTTGTGTTCAGCTGTTCCTATTGCTCTCTCTCTTCTATTTCTTGCATAAACAGGTTAACTATTACCGGTGAAAGTTGTGAACTCATCGGTGCTCCTTTAACTTGTTTATATCTTTGTTTCTTATAGATAAACTGTATTATTTAAGCAGTGTTTTGTTAGATTTAGAGTATACTATGGTATTAGATACTTTCTGCTTATAATTTGTAATGATTCTTCTATTGGAACATTTGTGAAAAGTGAAACCACATCAAAGCTGACTAACAAATGTCTCGGCTATTAGATATAACTAACTATTGTCCGCAATGGTAATCTCAAAATTTGTCAAAATAAGTCAAAAAATAAATTCGACCAAAACAACGACTAGTAGGACCTGTCTTGTTTGTCAAAACAAGACACAACTGAGACAAGAAGCTTTGCCAAGAACTGTTCGAGAGAAGCGCACCAAGATAATTTATATATAAGTAACCGCTTCAACTAGGAGAGTGCTGTTCTCTCTGCAGATTTGGCTATGTAATCTGTGATGCTGCTTGCTCCTCTTTTCTTGGCTATGAAGGTATACGCTTGATTTATTTGTTTCCCATATGCTGCTTTCTATTTTCATATTATTGGCAGTACATAATTGGATTCGATCTCTGTTTCTATTTCTTTTCATTTCTCCTTATTCTCCCATGTATCTCTGTCCTCTGTTTATATCACTTCCCATCCTAGCAATCCAGTCTTCTATTATGGTGGCCGTAGCGTAGTGACTATGTTACTGTATTAACAAAATGGAGGGTCCATTTAACTAATCCGCCACCGTACTTCAGAGGGCAGTAAAGCCGTCGGTTCTGGCTACGTTAGTTGTCTTTAAGTCATGTTAAGGGTCAGACATGTGGGGAAAAATTAAAAATACTGTCCTGGAGGCAGCAAACCAAAATATACAGAAAGAAAACCGTAAACAAAGAAAACCAGCTTAACAGGGAAATTGAGAAAAAGATAAATGTAGCTAAGGAAGAGTGGATGAAAGAAAAATGTAAAGAGGTAGAAGATCTGCAAAGGAAGCATAAAGATAAAGCATTACACAGAAAGGTGAAAGAAGTCGCTGGGATATGGAAACCCAAACATTTATCTATTGTAACAAACACGAAACACCAAATGGAATTGACCCTGAAAAACAGAAGGAAATATGGGAACAATATCTTAAAGATTTGTTTGGTGATCGGAGAGCAGAAGGGCCCCCACAAATAGATACCGATGGAAAACTAAGTAGTCTAACCGAAGAAGTTATGCGGGCAATAAAAGACGCAAAGAACAACTTTAACATTATATATGAACATGGCACTCTACCGCATGACTGGCTAACATCCACATATGTATATCTTCCTAAAAAACAAAAAGCAAGGAAATGTAAAGACCATCGAACTGTATCCCTAATGAGTCATGCTGCTAAGATTTTTATGCGAGTAATTTATAACCGCATTCACAATAAGTGTGAAGAATACCTGAGTCGTTCTCAATATGGTTTTAGTAAAGGTACAGGCACCAGAGATGCAATAATGGGATTGACACTAATGGCAGAAAGGTATCTCGAGGTTCAAAAACAGCTGTATGTGTGCTTTGTCGATTATAGAAAGGCCTTCGACCGCACTAGACACGAAAAATTGATTGAGGTGCTAAAAGAAGTAAGGCTGGACGGACACGACATAGCTATAATAAGCAATACATACTGAAACCACACAGGATGTGTTCGAACAGACAACGGAAATACCAATTATGTAAACATAGAACGAGGAGTGCGTCAAGGGTGCATTCTGTCCTCTCTTCTATTTAATGTCTATGCCGAAAATATCATCAGAGCTTCTCTTGAAGATCGCCCTGAAGGTGCCAGAGTCAATGGAATCATCATTAACAATGTAAGATATGCCGATGACACCGTAGTATTAGCAGAAACAGAAGACCTACTAAAAATATTGATGAACATACTATCAGAAGAAAGTCACAGACTAGGTTTGGATATTAATCTTTCCAAAACCAAAATCATGGTATTCCACAAGAACCCCCATGAACAAATTACATCCAACATACAAATCAATGGTATCACCCTTCAGAGCTCCCAAAGCTTCATATACCTGGGCAGAGAGCTAAACAGTTAGCTAGACTACTCAAAAGAAATTAGAAGACGTATTGAAATAGCAATATGTGGCTTCATGAACATGCGGAAAATGCTCTGTAACCCTAAGCTATCAATCACAATAAGGTTAAGAACACCAAAGTGTTATGTGTGGTCTCTACTACTATATGGCTGTGAGACCTGGACATTAAAACAGTGTGACGTCAACAAACTGAATTCATTCGAAATGTGGATGTACCGCCGAATGTTAAGAATAAGCTGGACCAGCAAAACTACAAATGAAGAGGTACTGGAAATAATGAACACACGACCTCATCTGGTTAATACAATCAAAATTAGAAAGACGTCATATCTAGGACACCTAATGCGCCTTAAGGAATTTGAGCAGCTCCAGGTAATATTAGAAGGCAAAATCGAGGGTAAAAGGGGTATAGAAAGAAAGAAGAAATCCTGACTCCAAAACATCAGAGATTGGACTCACACAACAGGAAATGACTTAATCCATCAAGCCCAGAACAGAGAGAAATTTGCCATATTGATCACCAACCTCAATAGAGAAGGCACTTAGGAGGAGGAGGAAGGGTCAGAAGCTAAAAATGAATTAAGAAACGAAGAGAAAGAAGAAGTATTAAAGCTGTTTAAAATTTAGTTACTCAAATATAATTTTTGGTTAATTTTATCTACTTGTATGCATCTATTAGATGAAACAAACACCCATTTAGATATTTTTCATTTATCCATTCTATTTATAGTTAAATTTTGTTACAATATTAGGTCTAAGAACGATTGCTTTAATTAGTAAATTGAATAGATACAATTTCCATTTTATCAGTTTTTATGTTTTGTAGTACGATGAGCTTTTGAAGCGTCTTTCTACGTATTAAAAAACTTTTTTCTCTTTTCTCTACATCACTGATATGAAAATAAAAGTATATTGTCTGAAAAGATTAGAAAGTTTTCGTGAAAACGAATCCCATTCAGCGAAGGTACAGTATCCATCCCTCCTATTGACTTTCTGTTAGTTCATTAGCCAATTCCGTGTGCAGAATCGCTAATGCATCTAGAAATATATGCACCTTCTACGCTGCTCAACTATTGACAAGGGATAGGATGGTAAATAAGGTGAAATTTACTAAAATATGGTGAACTAAGGCATTTCTTGAGGTTTCCAGTTTTTGACTTCCTTTAAAGTGTGCCAGTGTTCCCTTATATTTACCGTAATGTACATTCTGAACTCGTCACACGGGGGATAACTATTTTATAATAATAATAATAGTTATATAAATCAAATACTAGTGTTTATATGTTAAAAATTTAAAATTAATTAAAATTAACATCTTATATTCTGGACATTGCAAACTTCACTGTCATGAAGATAACTACAAAAAACAGTTCTTCGTGGACGCAACAATCCATTTTAAAAATTACTGTTAATGATCATAATGTGAATATACCAACTACGCAAAGGTAAGAGTGATCAAATGGTTATTGTTAAGAGAATCGTAAATAATCTCTTTGTATGAAAAAAAAATAATCGAAAAAACTTCAGATGCAATAATGGAGGGTAGGTATGGTAAATTCGGTTAAGGGGTGGAACGATCACTCCCAAAAGAATAAAACTACTAAAATAAACCACCGTAATAAACTCGTCCTATATGGTTAATGGGATTTACCTCTGCGAGTGGATTTGAGGTATACTGGTCCACTAGTTCGAATTGGTCGTGATTTCGCCGTCGCGGATTTACAAGAGGGTAGGAAAAAAACAGGATAGGGACTGAAGGATACTCCGATGCAGGCCCTGTAAAGAGTCAGAGGTTATTGGCTTGCGTTAGAAGCCGGGAACATGTA